GGCGGGCGGCGCGGCGGCGGCAGCCGTGGCCCTGGGCGACATGTACCTGCTGGACGGCAGCAGCGAGCCCGCGTCTCCGCCTGCGGACGCGATGCCGCGCGGGACGCCCCCCAGGAAGACGGTCTACCATATCTCCGTAACCATGGTCAGGAAGGACCAGCTGGCCGCGCCGGGCCCCGACCCACGCCCGGCTCTGAGGCCGCGGCCCGCGCGCTCCCCTGATGCGCCCGGACGGCTGGTGGAGGAGGCCGAGGAGGAGGCGGCCGACGCTGAGGACCCCGAGGGCCGCCGGCCGCGCGCCTGGGACTTCCGCACCTTCCGCACCCGCAGCACTGGGCAGCTGGAGCTCGGGCGGCTCCGGCCTTGCGCACGCGGCCTCGAGCCCGCGGACTTGGCCGGCAGCGTCCCGGCCGTGGAGGAGGGGCCCGGCTCGCCCGCGCCCGGCAGCCCCGACGTGGAGGGGGTCCGGGCCGCGCCCCTGCGGCGGAGCCTCAGTTTCAGGCACTGGAGCGGGCCCGAGGCGTCGCGGAGTCGGACCCTGGGCCGCGGGAGACGCCACAGCAGCTCCGGGAGCCTGGCCTGGGCGCCGGGTGGCGAGGCCTCGGCGGACTCCGGGGCCGCGGTGGAGCCCGCGGCGCCAGCGCAGCCCGCCTCGGAGAAGCGCAACACCCTGGATGTGGGCGAGGTGCTCAGCAAGAACGAAGCGCTCTCGGACCTGGAGCGCTGGGAGCGCAGCAAGAGCAAGAACCGCACGCTGGACAACAGCGACCTGCAGCGGCTGGAGCGCGCGCGGGCGGCGGCCGCGGGCCCCGGCGCCGCTTCGGAGCACCGGCTGCTGCGCTTCTTTAGCGGCATCTTCGCGCGCAGGGATGGCGCGCCCGGCGGCGGTTCCTCTCCCCGGAGCGGCGGCGCCTCGCGGCCCCGCGGCTACTTCAGCAGCCTGCGGCGGGCCCCAGCCGACGCGCACTCGTCCAGCGCGGAGAGCATCGACGGGTCCCCGCGCAGAGGTGGGCAGCGCGGCCAGGGAGGTGAGGGCAGTGGTGGGAGCTGGCCTGGTTCCGCAGCGGCCTGCTTAGCAGAGTACGTTGGGATTTGGGAGTAGCCAAGGGACCTGCGTTCCCCGAGCCACCAGCCGGCAGGTGGTCACGCCGGGTGTGAACTCGTGTACTGCGGGTTTTCCCCAGTAACACCGCTGCGGTCGGGAAGTGTGTGGCTGCCCCTGCCTCCAGTGTGTCTGGTGGTGCCATTCGGAATCTGCTCAGCCGCTGTGAGCCTGTCTGGGGAGAGATCACCTTGCCGGGCGGCGCAGCCTCCTTCTCAAGCAGAGCCGTGCGCTCGCCGCCCCGCTGTGCGCTCGCAGACTGGGATGCCTGTGGGCTGCCTGGGACCTGGCCCTGAAGCTAGCACACAGGTGGTGCTGCCTGGCCAGGAGCAGCAGCGTTCATCTTGCTTAATTTCTTCCTCCACCTCCCAAGCCTGGCCTCCCTGTAGGTGCTGCCATGTGTGAGCGCTGTGGTGGCGCCTCTCTGACTTAGCCCCGCTCACCTATCGCGTTCCTGCTAAAGATGCTTCATCCCAGTGGTCAGGGAGACAGGCCTCTCCCCACGGCCTCTGGAATCTCAGCAGGAGAGCAAGTCTGGGAGGGCATTCTGTTTGCTAGTGATGTATTCTCCCGTACGGGAAGGAAAATCACAACCCCACAGCCTGTTCTGAAACTTCACTTCCCTGTTTCTTGCGCCCTCCAACAGGGACCTCACAGGGAAGGTTTTGGAGGCAGATGTGACAATATTGTCTTGCAAGAACTAGGTAATCTGGTGGTGTTTGGAGGTCAGACTCCTCCAGAAGTTGCAAAACACAGATCCCCTTCTTTCCCCATGTGGGGTCATCACCCTAAAGGGAAGGGGGGTGGGTGAGCGGAGGGGCTGGATTGTTACACCCTGCTCATGTTGGGGTTGGAGGGGATGGATAAAGATACTGTCCCCATGCACTTCACCACCGAGAAATCATTAGCAACATCCCTTGTTCTGATTCCCAAACCCTGCTGCTGGTAGAGATGAGGGTAGTTGAGGCCCTGCAGTGTGGACTTTTAATTAGAGATTGTCCACTGGTAACTTACCCCCCTCCCCAGAGTACTGAGAATATTCCTCCCTAGTGGACTTCCCAGGTCAGCTGACTGCCTAGGGTGTGTATGCAAACAGCCAGGGCAAAGACATCATCGTGCTTGCCTAAGTATTTTTTTTTTTTTAAAGCAATTTTTTCTTTCTTTTTTTTTTTAAGATTTTATTTATTTGCGAGAGAGAGAATGAGAGACAGAGAGCATGAAAGGGAGGAGGGTCAGAGGGAGAAACAGACTCCCTGCTGAGCAGGGAGCCCGATGTGGGGCTCAATCCCGGGACTCCAGGATCATGACCTGAGCCGAAGGCAGTCGCTTAACCAACTGAGCCACCCAGGCGCCCTCGCCTAAGTATTTTTAAGGGAAACTGAAGATCAGTGATGTCATGTCGTAACATGCTTCTAATGATCCTCAGAATCTGATAGAGAATATTTGAAGTTAAGCACTTGAATATGCAGTAGAGTTAAGATCGGAATTTTCTTTTTATCGGTGAGGTTGTGATTCAAAGTTACCTGTTGCCAGCCTTGTGTTAGTTGAACTTGCACATCTCGTGGCTAACCTGACCCGGAATGTTCTAGAAGGGACTGTGATTGACTCCAGCCATTATCCCATCCCTTCCTGCATGCTCTTAAGGTACTAAAAAATGATGTGAGTTATTTTGTTCAAGTTGGTAGGTGTAAAGTTGCTCTTGTCCTGACTTGCGTTCAGTGGAGGTTCAGATCCGCAGGGTCCAGTTCTGCCTATAATAGCAGGCTTGACTCTTTGTTCTCCTGGATTTGCTGAAAATAGTGATTAGCCGCCTGGGTTCCAGACAAGTACCCATGGTTGGCGGGGAGGGGAGTAGAAATGCACACACACGATTTAGAATGCGTTTCATCGTGGTCCCTATCGGTACAAGTTCAAAGTATTGGGGTTTGGGTATTGGTGATCCGGTCGGATGGATTGATGCATTTGGAAAGCAGAGGTATAAAGCTTGTTGGAATTTGTCCCTCTAGGGTAGTGTAAGATTATAACAATAATAATTACAGTAATGCTTGGTTTGTTTGTTTCTCAGGGTGGAATTACTTTGGTCTGAGACGTAACACTAGCTAGCATTGTAGGTTGTGTGGAAGAACGGACTATGAATGAGCTAGGTTACAGCACACACAGCCCGAATTCCAGGATCTCACTCGACTCTGAAGTTCGAGGTAATCACATAAAAAGCCACAGTCCTCACCTGCCTTTGGCTAAAAGGCCTGGAGCAGTGTCTCTGTTCTCGAGGTTTGGTAAGGTCAGTGGCTCTTCCGGTCAAGGTGCAGCCCCTTTATTATGCTGTTCTACTTTCTACATGTTTGCTTCCTCTGATGTAAATTGCTCAGAGTTAGGTGCTACTTAAATGAAGTTTTGCGTTTAAGGTAAAATGCTCTGAGGTAACATTCCGATGCAGTGGAACCCAGGCTCCGTTTCCCTGTAAGTGTCCGTAGCGCACAGGTCCACAAAGCCTTGCCCAAACCATGGGGCCAGGGAGGTCTGCAAGACTTAGAAAATTTGGATTTTAGGAAGGTAAAATGCTGTGTATTACAGGACACTGTGTGTATAGTGGGGGCAGCGTCCTGCATTCAGACACCGATAATGTGCAGCGGAGCCTGAGATAGTCCCATTCAGTGTGATAAGTATGTTTTGCCATTTAGAGTCTGCTAAGCATTTGTGAATAAAGCTTCCATCTTCAGTCCTTTATGGATTTCAGAACTACGGACAAATGCAGTATACATCATGAACAGCATCTCTAGCTTTCTTTAAATCTTGGGCCACAATGTATTAAAATTTGAAGTTCTTTCAAATATAAAGGAAATTAGAGGACCCTTGTCATCGGGGCAGGTTTTCCTTTCATTAGACTCTTTCAGCTATTAAGTTATCAATTGGTTCTGGGAAAATAACTTTAAAAGACAAAGTAAGTATTACATTAGGTCATTTACTTAGCTTCTTAGGATTACATACTTTGTCTTAGACAAGGTACCTAGACTAGGGAAGGAAGATGGTTAGTCTTTTGAAGCACACACAGGCTCACACATCACGTGCGTATGGTTTTCTTGTCTTTAAGCATCAGGATGAAAGGATCGGAGCACCTCCTTTTGTGGGATGGTTCTCTTGTGCTTTTTAATCCCTATTAGGCTTTTCCTCTTCCTCCGACTGTTACACCCCTGCCTCCCAGAGACCCATGGCCGATTTCTCTCTCTTAGGTTCATAACCATCAGGAGCCCCAGAAGGTTTCAGAGCGGCCCTGTGTCAGATCAAGGGCAGGTTCCTATGACTTGATATCCCTCCCCCCCCCACCCCCCACCAGGACAGAGTCTGTTGACACAAGTATAATTTAATGCAAAAAAAAGATCGAATAACAAGTGATGAGTTACATTGCAGGGTGTCCCTTCCTGGCGCATGCTCTCTGTGTCCCCCGCTGCTGCCGGCCAGCCCTCCCTGGAGCCAGCTGTAGGCAGTGCCCGCACAGGGCTGCAGGTGTCTTTGGGGTGTTCTGTTGCTGTCCGTGAGGATTGATGACAGCAATAAAGTGATTCACGGATAGCCCTGACTTAGCTTTTCAGATTAGTAATTTACAACTGATTTTTGACAGCACGTTTTTTGAGTGGCTTTGTTCTTCAATTTCTGATTTCCTTTGTATCACTCCACTTGTGCAGCTAGATAGACTGTTTTATAGTTAAAAAAAAAACAAAAATCTTCAGTGGAGAAAGAGAGGAAGCAGTAATTAAATGAAATAAAATTACTGAAATAACTTGGTACATTTTTATTTTTTTAACTTGATTTGTTGCTGAAAAGGACATACACGGTTTTAAAGAAACAGTATAATTCAGAGTTTCTCATTTGAAACGTTTTAAACTAATTATGTACTCCATATTTGGGAAATCACATGGCTTTTTATAAATGACTCTAGATACTAATTTAGGAGAACCTTCATTGTTTTTGTTATAAGGTCAAATTGCTTTCCTGGAGAACAGAGCAGCCCACTCTGATCCAGGCAGGGCTGCCCCCACGAAGGTCAGCCAGGGACGCTCTAAGGCAGGCGCTGGAGGCTTGGATGGTGTCTTGCTGCATTAATTTTCTCAACGTGGAGGCCCGTGTGTCAGCATACGCACCTGTGAGCACCGGAATATCATGCTGCCAAAGGAACGTTCAAAAGTACATCTGCCAAAGAGGGTCTTAACAGTTCAACTCAGTTGGCCCATTGCAGCAAAATCTGGTTGGTTATACAGTTAACACATACCTTTTGTTTGGAAGCGTAAGACTCAACTGTAAAGCACTGATAGTACTTAACCCTTTTTTTAGTTGTCTTGTTTTTCTGTAGCATGGACAGATATTTATTGAGTTTCTGTGGTGTGTTCTGAGCAGGAGCTAGAGCTAAGCAAGGCATCGTTCCTATCTTCGGAGGCCCAGTAGTCTTTTGGGGGATGGAGAAGTTCTAAGGAATCACAGCTTCGTGGGATACTTAGGGGAAGCAGGACTGTATTTCTCTGCACAACATACCTCCGTTAGAGCACTGTTAATCCCAGTGTGTAATAATAACCTCGTTTACATACTTGCCACTTCTCCCTCCTGGGCATGAAGCCTGTGTTATTCCTCTTCATACTACAGAGTTTAGAGTACTGTGCTTGGCTCTTGTACTTTTAATAAATGTTTGTGGGAGGAATTAATGAGAGGACTGGGGGACACAAAAAAGGGAGCAAATGTCCTTGAGCAGGAGAAGGAGTTAATGAAGGCCTCACAGAGGGATAAAATGATTTGGGTTTTGCAGGATCACTAGGAGTTTAACAGCAGGAAAAGAGAAGATTCTCCGCCAGAAGGTTGGTTGGGATTTCTGTAGTTAACATCTAAGAAGTCATCTTGTTCCTCAAATGTATATGA